AGAGCAAAGCATTTTTTTAACTGATCATTGATTCTCTGCCAAGGAAGCAATAGATAACTTAATATGCCTTACCGGTGAGGATAGTAGGCGTGTATCCTTACTGCACCTGGTGTCCATAGCCACTTTCTCAAACCTGCACACGAGTCCACCTAGTCCCATAACTCCTTGAAAGCTGGCAGTTTAGGTGGCCGAATTTACTGTTGAATACATGGAAGATGCTGTGTGGTCCTGATACAACCGACTCTATACTTGTTAATGTAAATGCTCCATTAATTCTTGTCTTTGAACCCCCTGTGCTTTCGCGTCCATTTTAATTCCATATTTCCCTTACCAATTCATAATCGGTATAAATGAAAAGGTGGCCAGTAATTATGGTGGAACACCCACTTGGTGAATACCAGAGGTTGGAACAATTTTGTATTTGAGGCCAGATTCCTGCTACAACAATGATCCGAAATGGGAGGATAAAGGAGGAAAATTGAGTCTATAAAATGCTTGTATAACCTAGCACAGCACAGTACGTTCTGGGTGAGGTCCGTAGTTCCCCTGGTCTGGCTACTGAGGAATGTCTGCAGCACAACACTAACGCCTACATTTCCCCCAACCACTCGAAGTAGCTTCTCCTTCACAACCACGAGGCATCTGTACTGGTAGCTCCTCCCCTGAATCTGTAGGCAGCAGCGTTTCTGGAACAATCCACTCCTACTTCATATGTTTAGGAACTCCATTGGCCACCACGTCTGAGCTCACTCGTCTTGGGTGGTAGATTTACATAACTTGTTACCTTAAGTATAGCTGTACTACTACACCCTCCACTACTGCTAGTACTCGTCACCATAATTACTACAGTACTCGTTACAGTATTACCACTACAGTAACGTACTCCCAACCTCCATTACTGTCCTCTCATTCACATTATATTACAACATTTCTATACAAGAAACCGTTCATTGTTTAACCCTTCACTAATAGTCCTCACAGCTACAGTAGATATATCTCCCTACAGTTTATACCCCGGTACCCTTAGTAGGTAGATACACAAGGGGATACAGACGGGATATACTATAACACTATATTTAGCAGAAAATACAGCAGATAAACTGAATTACAACTCCTAACTGGGGCTGACATATGACAAGTTTTGTTGCTGTACAGAAGTTATATACACCGAGAGAGGGCCTCAAACTGTACAAGACAAAGAACAAAATAATGGAAAGTGGAAGCAAACCATAAGTTGCAATTATACTGTATAACAAATACAACAAAAAAATCTGGAGAACAATTACAAGTAGTGCCAATAAACTTGGAATAATAAAAAAAAGTAACTGAAAAAACTGCTATATTAAGTACATTTGAGAAACCAACATACACTTGGAAATTTACAGTCAAATGCGAGACGGGGGGTAACTTAGGCATTATGTTATACACACAATTATATCAATGTACTGAAATATACAGCTCTGTTACGTCACCCTCAGATTGTCCCAGCTTCGTCCGCGCTCGTCCCGGACACTCGACTCTGGAGCCGGTGCTCTCGCTCTCCTCCGGACTGACTGTTCATAATGCATGAGATTTCTATCGTTATTTACAGAAGCTGGTCGGGCTACGGTGATTGACATTATGCGTATCGTGTTTATTTCTATATCTACAAACGTGCAAATACATTAAGTACTCTTTTGTAAGTGTCCATTCATTGCACTGTCAATGGCGATTTTTGCAACTCTTTACTGGGAGAGCGATCTTAATAATACGATAATGCACACGATTCTGCGACGTCGGAGCGTCGGGGATCTCACGGACTGAACACACTGAGCGTGCGCATGAGAGCGGTGAGTGCGCCGGCCAGGTTGGTGGCCTGAGTCATGAGGGTGTTCATGGAAGGGTGGTGCATCCAGCGCACAGCGCCGCCCGGACGGTGGACTGGTAGGTGGAGGCCACGTCCCTCACCTTCACTACAACGTTGTGAGTCTGGAGAGGCACCACCTGCTGGGCCACGTCCACCATGCGCAGCATCAGCTTCATACACGTCGACAGACACTGCAATAACGTGTCTTCGGATTCTGTGGCCGACTTGACGAATAACTTCGAGGCCGTTACGAACCGTCTCGATTCACTGGTGAGAGCCTCTCTGGCCTCCTGGAACTTTGCCTCGTCTTGAGTGGCGGTGCCGCTGAAACACTGAGCTTCTGCACAGGTCGCTACCATCTCCGTCGGGGACTGACCGACCGCTCCCGTAAAACGGCGGAAGGCACCTCTAGACGCCGGAGGCATCACTTCAATGTCTTCTGCTTCTTCTAACGAATCTTGATCGAAGCTACCAGATTCCGGGGAATCGTCCGGGTCCGTGCCGTTGACCGTCTTGTTTTTGGGAGAGAGTTTTGGCGACTTCTTGGTTCAGGCGGTTTTTACGAGCCACGCTGGAATTATCCAGTCTGGGCAGTCTCGAAGCAGTGGAATTTTTGTCGGAGGTTCGCACGGGACTTTTGATGCCGTTGGTGGTGGCCGGCGGCGATGCGGGAACTCTCCGAGCCGGCGAATGACTATTCTTGGCGTGGAGCCGAGGCTTAGGTTCGTCCGCATCGGCTGGCTGCCTTACGAGTGACTCTGGGACTCTTTTGGGGGGAGCGAGTACCCTCTCGAGGCAGTGCTGGATTTAGACCTGTGGAGGCCCATGGGCAGCCAGCCTCTTTGTGGAGGGCCCCTTCATTACATCTACCCAAGAGGGTGGGGTGGCGAGTGAAGCGAGCCTAAACATCTGGGCGTTCCGGGGGGCGCTATAAGCCCCCCGGAAAAATTTTGAAATTTGAGCACTTCTTTGGAGAATTTTGAAGCCATGTGCAGATATATTGAGGAAATTAGAACATTGAGACATTTTGAATTAACTGTATATTAATTGATAGAGTACAAATTCCAAACACACACACAAAAGTGAGACATGACTGGAGTCATTCATGTGGTTTCAAGTCGGTTCATAGGAAAACCAGGTTTTCATGAATTTCAAGGAGTAGCTTGCCTAATTTCTATCACGCTTCTTGCTGAACATAGTTTTACGTGATGGAATAGATAAACATGAATTTTAAAGTATGAAAATAAAAATAATCCAAATAAATAAAATACTGTAAGATGTGGAGGCCCCTGGGCAGCTGCCCACTTTGCCCACTCCTGAATCCAGCCCTGCCTCGAGGAGAAGTGGGACTGCTCGCGGGGGCCTTACCGCCGGTAGGTCCGGAAGGAGCCATTAATTTGCCCGAAGGACGCAGACGGTGTGTGCCTGGCAGATTATTCGTAGGAGAAGTAGTTGGGCTGAGCTGTGGCTTGCCAAGTCTGGAAGGCACCGAGGGTGGCCGCTCCGAGTTATCTGGCGAGGGACTCCTTACGCGCTGGTGATGGTGAACGAAGGCCTTTGTTCTGCATACCTGCCTTCACATTGTCCTGAGGAATAGAAATTGTATTTACTAAAATTAACAGATAATGCTTCATACATATTGCACGCACGTACGCACGCACGCGCACACACACCATCAATTTTCTCCAATTCTTCAATCAACCAAACTTATTAATATATTCAATTTTCTTTACTCAACCAACCACATCAACAGCACCAGCCTCAATTATCATCCCATCCCGGCAAACACCAATCATGGTGACACTACATATCCTACTACAATCTTACTTTCATCAGCAACAACTTCTCCTCTCCCTCACATACAGTACACTGACTATAGACAACAATCAGTATTTATCTAATACATTTTCTAACGTTCCTACATTGCTTTTCTAACGACTCTATCCGGGTCCTTAAATATCATAAAAACATTATCGATTTCATTAGATAATTTTACATATAAGTTCTATGCTCCTTAATTTAAAAAGTGACCCACATAATCTCTTCCAAGTCTGGTTCCAAACTTTTCTTCCACTAATACACTTTTCCTACCTTATATCTCAAAATCTTCCCTCTGTCATTCTATTGATTCTTTATTAAACATAGTCAATACACCTTTGTTATTCTATTAAAACCAAGATTTATAACATCCCTATTCTGTATTTTTCTAGGTAAATAGACAGTTTCAATATGATTACAAAAGAGATCCCATCTAACCGTTTCCTCTCTTTTAAGTTTTCTTTTATCACATTGAATCTTTATTTCTCTCAGCGTTAAACAGGATAACTCTGCCTCTCAGCTGTTACATTTACCAACTTCTCATAATAAAACCTTTACCTCCCTCTACCCTCGTCTTTTTTTCATATTGTATCCATGCTACCGATCGTATAAAGAATTAAACACATCAGTACATAAATTCAATTTCTTTTCCAATTCCCAAAAATAGAGAATATATTCACCTCCATCATTGCTGTAAGTTATCATCTGCTGCAATTCATTTAGCAGGACAGTAATGTAAAAAAAAAAAAAATCACAAAAATAATAAAACAAGGCAGGTGAACTCAAGACTGGCTGAGCTGTAGTTCATTAATGATGTTTAGAGATTTATTGAAAATTTTAGGAGTAATTCTTCAGTAGAGGAATTCACTGGAGGACGACGTGAGAGAATCGTTACTGGAGGCTACGCTTTGTTTGGAGGGGGACCCCGGGGAGGCTTTGGCTTGGCTGACGTCTTCGCTGGAGGCCGAGGCTTTGGTGCTCGACTTCAGGATGGTGTTGTAACTGGCGTGACTCGTCATGTCGTCTTGAGAGGCAGACTTGGAGAGGTTACCTGTGCTCATAGATATACTTCTCTGGATTTTTGACGAGGGAGGAGAAGGCTTGGATTTCTTTGGGTTAGTCAGAGTGCCGGTTCGTGGGATGGGCGTTCGTGGAGGAGGGGGAGGTGGAGAGTCCTCCTATTTTCCCTCTGCCTTACTGGTTGGCACGGTCTTTTGGCGCTGAAGAGAAGAGGCGGTCCAGTTTCCCCCAGAGCTGAAGGTTCGTACTCTGGCCGTGACCGACGGATGCTTGGAGTCGCCGCTCTCCCGACTTCCGCCGGTATTTTTGGCACTCGTCATTTGTTGAGTGTCGAAATCTTATCATTTTCCTCTAATGCCTGTGCCAATTTGGCATGCAGTTCATGTCCTACATTAGAATTATTTGATCTCGGTAGCAACTGACGATTGTCTACGGAGGCACTTGAGGTAGGCAGACTACCGTAGGCAGTCCTGGGAGGAACTTCGAAGCGCCTCTGCAGAGATGCGACCTTCCCTGCTAGATTGGCACGCTTGGCCATCGTCTCTGAGCTGACGTGCACCTCGCCCATGTCGTGGTCCTTCTCCCCGACCTCCATGTCGCTGTTGTCCTCGCACACCATCTGTAACGATAAACCAATTTAGTTCATTTTTGTACGAAAAAATTATATCTTAAAGTAAATACCCCCTACATCACTGTTTGTGATATACATTCAGAAGGAAAGAACTAACAGCAAATACTTTAGGTAAAAACAAACATTTGCTGGTACGGCAGTAATGAGTGTATCATGGGTTTGAGTCCTGGCTGAGACACACATGAGAAGGGTGTTATCCAGTGACACTCCCAAATATTATAGATTTCTTCCTGTACGAACACCTAACACTAGTGTTCACAGCAAATTAAAAAAGAACCGACCAACTGGCCCAGCAGCTAATAAACTTTTAAGTGGTGGAATGATAAATTAATAAATTAATAATATTCTTTTACTACAGGAGAAATCACAATAAAACTCAACCATTTTAACCCATTGAGTAACACATTTCTCCAACCTGAAAACACTGTCTGACATTACCCATAATAAAACACCTAGAGTGATACTCCTCCTTAAAGAGATAAACAACCTGAGAGTCATACATACCACCAGGAAATGTGATTTTAAATGGCCTCCCTGTTTTCCTAAGTACCTTATTGTGTTGTATAATACTGTACAGTATTTATTATAAACCCATAACTAATTATTACACAGTGCGGTAATATTCTTACACGATGATGTATGTTACACTGTACGGTAAATCAATAACATCTATGAACAGAAACAAATTCATTTAGTTCAGACAAACACTTCCACAGTACACTTACAGTAATACAGTATTGCATTTAATTGTAGAAAATTAGATGAACCTCACAACAACTCACCCTACTGATTCCTTCTTTGGCTCCGTATGATGTCGAACGACCTGTTGTCCTTCTCGTCCGAGGGTGGAGGCGGCGGCGGGATAATAAACGCAGAGATGTCGTACTCGTTCCCCATCTTACGGTTCTCCGCGCACGTCTGAAGGTTCTGTAAACGGCATCGTATATACAGAACAATTCTCTATTTGTAAATAAGGGAATATCTTGGAGTTCCATGTACTGTATAGTCATCAAAATGGATAAAAACAGCAGCATTATAATGAATGCATAATCACTACACTGCTTACCACACCTCCTTCAGTTGGTGGAGGAATGGTAAGGTTTGCAATGAAGGAATCTATATCTTCGCCCTCCTCTAAGTGAATGCCGAGCTGGCGTAGGGTGGCCAAGGTGAAGCTTGGATCCCTCGCTCCTCCGTTGCCACCCAAGCTTTTGTTGACTACCGCTCCTCCGGTCAGTGGGGAGAAGACGGAGTCACTGAAGACGATGCTGATATTAAGGCTGGTCGGGGAGGTGCTGTCCTCCGTGTCACTTGCTCCTGCTGGACACGTGTAAGACGAAGCTCAAGACCCAATGCTGGTTTTTATTACAGTGACTTATCGTTATTTTACCTGATCCTTCACGTACAATTTTATTTATACAGAACACGTCCTTGATTTTAATGTATACAAGTTTGTTACCTTACAACCTGAGTTATAAATCTTTTATATCTGGTATGAATTCTACCCTTGAAAAAATCCCAAATTAATGAGTCAAAATAAGTCTCTAAGTTAATATGTCAGTGTACGATGTGGGGAGAGTGGTGTCCCTGGTGTGTGGGTAAAGAGGTCCCCCTGGTGTGTGGGTAGAGAGGTGCCCCTGGTGTGTGGGTAGAGTGGTGCCCCTGGTGTGTGGGTAGAGAGGTGCACTTGGTGTGTGGGTAGAGAGGTGCACCTAGTGTGTGGGTAGAGAGGTGCTCCTAGTGTGTGAGTAGAGAGGTGTCCCTGGTGTGTGCGTAGAGAGGTGCCCCTGGTGTGTGGGTAGAGTAGTGCCCCTGGTGAGTAGGTAAAGAGGTGCACCTGGTGTGTGGGTAG